GCGCCCGCAAGCCCGCAAGTTCGTGACACGACACACACGAGGAAAGCGCACACGGGACCCCCGAGGAAACGAGTGCATCACAGCCGGCTCTGGGGCTGCGGACGAACGGATCCTACTAATACTGTCTGCTCAAGAGAGATCCTTCACGAAGTGGTAAGTAACATTATCTATATATATATATTTTTTTCTCTATCTACGCTTCTTCGACTTTATTTTTCCTTCGTTTCACCTCCTCGCTTCGCTTATCCACTCTTCGTAGATCCCAGATTCAAATCTTGTTGCAACTTAAAGTATTTACGTTGATTTTCCTCAGAGACTTCTCTTCACTTTTTCTTCGTACAAGCATCGCTTTCCTTGTCATTTCTGCTTCCTGTAAATTATCTTTCTCTGTTCCCCCCACCCTCTCTCTCTCTCTCTCTTTCCCTCTGTGTCGTTTTGTGGAAAAAAAAACGTTCTTTTCTTAAATTGATTATGAAGGATGATTAAACAGTTCGCGATTTAAATAAAGAGTTAAACTGTGGTGCTATGGTGACTGTGTTACGGTGCTGGTGAATTCTCAAGAGATTTTGTACGTAAAGTTTGACACGAGGATACGCGAGCACTTGTCAATGAAACTCGGTGTTTTTACTGGACGAAGAAACGAAGCGACTACGAAATGGAATTGAAGGTGGGAACGAAGGAGAATCGCAGAATGGAACTAAATGGATTTTAAGAGTGGTGATTGTATCGGCTGACAGACGATGGAAGCTTCTCGTACTACGAGACACGTGCTACGTCATGTACTCACTGTTACAACTTCTTTTTTATTTACACTGTTTTCAGAACAATACAAAACTCACGTTAATTGTGTATATGAAATACGGCGTTTGTTTGAACTGCCTGGCGCTACTTTGTTCCTATGACTCGATTCCATGACTAAACCCTGCAAATCATTGCACTCAGTGAAGACATAAGTAAGATCCGCTGACCATGACGAATATGAATGGATAAAAGTGTTCATCCTTTCAGAAGTGATAACGTTGCACAATGAGCGACAATAAAGAAATGTGAAAGTAAAAATGAAAATTTAGTCCGATGACGTTTGATGATGAAATCTAATAGAAATATGCCAGAGAAATTTTATAAAAAAACAATGCGACGAATTATACGTTGGTTTTAAAGAGAGAGAAAATACATACATAGAGATAGAAAGAGACATATTATTTGACAGAGGATGAGGAGATGCGTTGGAGGGAGGGAGGAAGGGGGGAGAGAGAGAGAGAGACACTATAAAAACGAGGACTGCATAATGCATTGGAATTTAAACGTGCCGACTTTATTCTCACGGCTGCTAATAATATTCGATAATTAACGCTCCGTTAATTCGCTGTATCAATCTGAGTGGCAGCTATCGTACGCGTGGGCCAGAACAGCTAGTGCTATATGCTCGTTAATACATATACTTGAGTATGCTGATAGTATGCCGATGTGCGGAAATTATTCTTAGTTGGAAATAAGGAATTTACCGTGAGATTAATTATGCGAGTGGTAACGTCAGAAATGGTCATAACGCGACGAATACAGTGATAATTCGAATGTGAATAAATGGGGAAGCAAGTTTTTAAAAAATTGTATACGGACACGTCTTATTCGTACGAAATGTTGATAGTGACGTTCGTGGGATTATTAAAAGAAATTTTAAAAAATTTTCAACATATCCCCGAGCTTTGATGAGTGGCGCAAGAATCAGTGGATTACGAGTTTTTGTCGGGGAAAAAAAAAGTGCCACTGTGTGAATTAAGAGGGATCGATGGAATTTCTTTAGCGAAGGGGAAATTATTATGATAATTTTATGGGCGTTCAAAATTGGAGCAGTGTCGTGTGTGCGACATATGAAAAGTGTAAGGAAGTAAATACAATTGAGAATTGACCGTTGTTAAGATTGAGGGGGGAAAATGCATCATTCTTTTGGTGTTACAAGGAAAATTGGAAAAGTCGAGAAAAATTGATAACTGTGAGCTGGAAAGTAGAAAAGAGCAAGAGACAGGCCAGACGCTGAAGATCGGCCGTATCTATTTCCCCGTCGGAAGCCCACGTAGCATCGCTTCGCCTTCGCACGTCTACGAAAGTGATTTGTTGTTGAGAGAATATTTTTGAAAATTTTTTTTCTTAAAATATATCTCATTTTCACGATGGATCAGATCAGAAATCAGGTTTTGAAAACATGTTTTGTCGAATCCTCGGAGGATCCAAAAGACAATCCAGCGAATCACGAAACATTGAGGAACTCGACACAAGAAATTTTGAATAACGGAAAATATATGAAAATTCAAAAATATTCTGTGGACCTCCATCACACCCATGACAATCTCGAAACATCACTTTCACGTAGCTTTTTGAAAAACGCAATGAAATATATGGTACAGGAGAAAAACGTGGAGAAAATTCTGACAGAAATTTAAAAAATAAATCACTATAAGACCCACTCGAAATTCTTTTTGAAATTCACAAATCGCTTTTCCATCTGTAGAAATGAGTATCAAACGTACGAATGTCACGTTTGCAACGTGTTACTGGTAAAATAAATACGCCTCGCGCCGAATATCACTGAGGAAGGAAATAAGAGATAAAAGGATCCCACGAAATGAGAAACCTCAGCAGCGTCTCTTGATAATTGTCGTTTCACGTCTATAAACGGTCAACTGTAAACTGTCGGATCTTGTCGCAAGAAGAATTGGTGAACAACTGAACGTATAAAAGGGGTCCTCCTGGGACGATCCCAATACTAGTTGTCCCAGGAAAAACCTGTCTGGCCGGTCTTGCTATGGGGATTATAAGAAAGAAAAAAAAAATATCGTCATGCCTGTATAGAAAATGCCGGGTAAAACGTGTTTGGAGTTGTTGTTGTCGTGAAGCCGCGTGGTCCGTAACCGGCGATCGATGCTTGCGTATAAATAGCTAATAATGAAATGAATCGTGTCATAAACAATCGACGCGTCGTTGGGAAAGGTGGGGGTAAAAATCTAAATGAGTGTCGATTGGGTGGTGCGCGTATTCCGGGGGGTTTAGAGAGTCATATGAGGATTGAGGGTTGAGAGGTGGAGATATGGGAGGTCGATAGGTCACTCAAGCTAAATTTCACTCGGAAAGTCAAAAAATGACGAAAACTTAATGTCTTAGCAGAATTTGTTTTCATTAAGTTAGGAGGAATAAAGCTATTCAATAGCTGATCAATGGGTTTGGGCAATTGAATAGTCGTGTAAAATGCATAAATCTGACAGGCGAAAACTGTCGGTGTCCGATTTGATTCTATACTATCAGTCTGGATTGTCGCTGTCCATAAATTAACTTTGCCAATTCGTAAGTGGTTTTTTCGGTGAGTTCACAGATTGAACATGGATTTAATTAATATGAGAATCACGTGTTCTGGAATTTTTATCATTTCGTTCGCGAATTTATGAGAACGTGAAATGCAGGTGAAATTAACTTTATATTGTCGTTTCCTAGAAACACGGTGTGTCTAGCGTTCGGTAAAGTATGAAAATTAAAAAAATAGTACAATTTACCTTACCTACAAAAATCAAGTAGCTTTTGTTGCTTTTTATATATATATCTCATAACATATTTTTTTTTAATGTACCGTATACAATAATTTTTCAAAACTAATGCAACAACCGAAAATATTTTGACCATACGAATAAAATGTATAGACCAACTTGAGATTAATTATGAAAAATTATAATTTTTTTTTAACTATTTAGACTGTATTTGTACCGGGGCATCCTTCCCGCCAAAAGCCCGTACTTTAAAGTAGATTGACTGTCCCGCGAACTACGTGACTTGGTTAAAAATAAAAAAATCTTAAAGCAACGTGTACATAAAAAAAAGTCACTTTAATAATCAGACGACAAGAAGAGTCTATAAAACTTTGATAATCGTAAGCGATCGTTTGTCAAAACGAGGGTAGCGAGCGAGTGGCAGGAGGACAGGGTAGAAAAAAAGCGCGCGGGAAAATCGCAAGAATGCGCACAGCCGTAATCGTGAGCAGCCGCGTGAGGGGCGAGTGTCGAAGGTAGCGCATGGTGGTCGCAGAGGGTGCAGAGGTGGGAAGATAGATCAAGGGGATGAGTAGTGAGGGTTACAACGGTAGCGAATGTCAGGGATTGCGATATTGGTAAAAAAAATTGAAGGTTGCCTGAAAGAATTGAAAGTCGAAGAAGCTCTGCCGTAACAAGTGAACGCCGAGTCACAGGGGGTGGTATACGTGTCTGGATACCCATAAGTCCAAGTACCTGGTTCATCAGAAGAGAAAGCTGCACACTATGACTATCTACACAGAACGAGTATGAAGCCTTACGAGAATGCCGAAGAAGACACACGCACCAAGCCAACCAGTAACGCCAATACCTAACCCAGTGGAAGTGTGAAAAAATTTCCGATCGAAGAGTACGTAACATACGACATCCACAGAGGGGTTGCCAAGGGGGTTAGGTATATTCCTAGTCCTCTCCCAGTGCTCTCCTATTCCTCTTGGTCCTCCTAGGCAAAGTCGTCCTCATCGGCCGCGACTTGGGTGAGGGCATCCCCCACATTGGCGGTGGTTGCGGCGAGGACGACGGTAGTGGGAGCGAGTGGGTTAACTGTAAAACTCGATTGCCCGTGTTTTTATCTTAAGACGCAAAGGGGGTCGAGGATTGGCAGGGGGTGCTTCGGGAGGCGCTGCTGGTTCCTGGAGGTGGGGGTTCCGAGGGTTCGCGCTGGGCCACGGGGTGATGGAAGTCGGCTGGGGGTAGGGTTGGAGGCCCCCCTCGGACTCCTCCGGTGGCGTTGCCAGGACGCGGTGGGGATAAGACTACCCTCGGAGGCAGAGTGCGTTTGCGCCGTCGCCGTGGAGGTGGCATCGTGCTAAGGGTTGTTTCGTGCGGCCGGGGGTGGCCCGGGGGATCTGGTGGGTGGGGGCATCCCTGACTGCAGGGTTAGGGTGGTCTTTAGGTCTGTCAGTAGCAAAGCGGCGGCCTCATCATACGGAGCTGCTGGCTGACCAGCTAGGCCGAAATCACTTAAGACGCGTACCTCGTTATAACCTCTACGCGCCGCGCCACTTCGCACATCTTCGCGCGCGCGCACCCCACCCCTACCCCCCACCCACACACACACACACACACACTCACACGCGCACACACCGACACGTGCACGGGCCACACGCACGCACACGCACACAGTGACACAGGACGGTCAACCCTTTCTCATAGACATTCGCACCAGTCACGCATATCGGCCGCTGACATTCACACGAGACACGCGCACGTAACCATCCACGACGTAAACCAGCATTGTCAACCGCTGCGGCCCAGACATGTAAACATCGCGTACGCGCACCGTAAACATCATCGTCTTCAGATTCATCGCACCCGCTCCCCCCTGCAAGTACGACGTGAAGAATAGCCGGCCGAGATCGCTCGGACATTCTGACACTTGGCCAGTTCGTAGGGCCGAACCCGAGTGCGACGCGCATTCACTTGCCCACTTCACGTGATAACGGTGCCGCTGGACAATTGTGCTTTTCCTTTCCAATCCTCACGAAGGGGCAGCCTCCTCTCTGCGCGACATTCACGCACGACTCTACCCTTCGAAGGGTAATCGAAGCTCGTTGCGAAGTTGTCGCGAATTCGTCGACTGACGCGCTTTGCCGGTGTCTGGGGGAGCTTGTCTTGCGAATGTGACACCCAGGACTTCTGGGCGAACCGTGATACTCTGGTAGCTAATTACGTGGCTCGGTTCTTCTTTGGACTTGGGAGGATTTTCGAGTGTCGGACTACTGGAGGATTACAAGAGGAAAGACTGTCGGCAGAGATAATCGTTGGGGTTAGTGATCTCTTCGTATTATACTTGGTGTCTTGTGAGTTTACGGGAATGAGGACGGTGGGCCTGATGTAAGGGGAAAGAAAGAGGAAAATAATAATAAGCGGCTTTACCGCGTTTCAGAAACGCCCCTTGTGTCGCGCCAACCCCTAAACACAGTGTGCACGTGTTCTCACGGATACAAGAACGTTTAGGACGCAACGTATAATTTAAAGGTAACTGAAGTTTTGCGAAGAAACAGTGCAACTGTGGAAAGTCAATAATCTGTGTTGTACGATTACTACCGTTCCTCCTCAGGAATCCGCGGAGGACCTTTCAAAAGTAATTAAGGGCATTTTTATCGACGACTCGGTTGGACGTTCGGTGAATACTTATCGTTGTGTACTTATCGTTTTTTGGAATATTGTTCTTTTTTTAATTGTTATTATTTTATTGCTATTGTTTATTGTTTGTCAACTTTTGTCCATGTGAAATATAATTTTTATTGTCTCCTTGGTGTGTACCCGTCTTGTTTATTTTTGTTAACCCACCTTTTTCTTGTTTCCTTTGCAAAACCTCGACCCTTCAGTTTCATTTTTTAGGAGACAGTAGGGATGGTTTCCGGTATCCGGGATGCGACCGGAAATCCCGACAAAACGAATCGATCGGACGCGCAGTATTTTAGCGCGAGTGTTTATTTATTTCGGTGTCCAGTCGATGGGGCTTTTTGTTTGTGAAATTAAAAAAAAAGAGCTCTGCTTATCGTTGGCCGAAATAATCATAGAAATTGCGGTGACGTGTCAACAGTAACGCCGATCTCTGTCATTCGTTTTGAATTCGTGTATTCGGTGTTAGTTTCAAGAGTAGAATAATAAAACGTATATATATATATACACACATGTATACTTGTTTTTTGCAACCTACAAGTAGAGAGTGTGCTGGCAGTTAATGATTTCGCCAATTGAAAAATTATTTACGCGCGACGAAGGGTTGCGCGAAATGTTGATAAGGACGGAAGTTGAAGAGGAGTCGAGAAAAAATATTAAACTCCTCTACGAGATATTTAGGTCCTCTTTACATAAAAATTGATTTAATCGTCGCATGGCGGCGTATTAATTGATAAAGAAAGTTGACTTGTAATTTTATTTTTTATTTTTTCTTTAACGAAATCGCTTACTTTTCATATCATTCAAATGAGATTAGCGAAACGAAAGATGGTAGTTTAATGCGCAAAAATGTTTAATTAAAATTTTTATCTCCAACTTTCCTATTGCGACTTTATGTTGCTGTAGCCGACGGCCATTCGCAGAAAGCCAGTTGAAAATCACTGGCATTATTTAATGGGAGATCCAGTAAATGGGCGAGTTTCTATACCTCGACCGGTAAAATCTGCCGATTGTTTGATAATTCGCGAAATTGACGCGTGGCTAATGGAATCGCGATGTCTGTACTTGTGTATAACTGTATTTTTTCGACTTTTATTTCGGGCATGTCCATGTGCGCGGCCAAAAGTCTCCGTGTTGCCGACTCGATCGCCAATTTCTGTTTTTAATCGTCAATTAATCGTAGCTGCACATTTTTACCTTTTTTTTTCATTTTGACTCGTTTTTATCTCCTTTCTCGTATTTTTCTGTTACTTTCTTTTTTTCATTGCTGTACCGAATAACCAGAGATTTTATCATGATTTCTTGGCGCCACTTCCGGTTTTGCGGTCAGACCGAAGTTAGCGAACCGCAGGAAAAATTGCGAAAAGTATTGGAAATTTCCCAGAACGCAGGTTCGATTTCATATTTCACACCCAAACGCCTCGATTGCTCGATACATGCGCAAACACAAATCAATCTTTGGTACGTATACGAATAATAATAGTGACACCCGCCAGTTGGAGTCGCGAGCATCTTTTATTATTAAAATCCAGTTTTTTAAAATTCCAACTAAAGTCTGAATCAAAATAGAAGAAAAGCAGTTACATATGTCAAAGGTATTTGGAAATTACAACAAACGAGGTTAATTAGAAATTTTCAATAATGAGATAAAAAAGACGGTTTAAAGATCCTCCTTAGCCGGATCGCAAGAGGCCTTTGACCTCCTAATCAGTAGTCATGGCGAACAATAGGGGGCAGCTGTCAGAGTCCCTGAGTCTCTAGTTCCGTTATCAACATCTGCTGGTAAACCGTAGCTTTCTACGCACAATCAGCGACAGCACGAATTCTGTCTCCTGTTATCGCGCCTCCTCCCAATATTTGTCCCGGTGAAAGGATCAACGTTTAATCCACGAAATGGACTGAAAACGTAGAAGGGATAAAAAGCAAAGAGAAGTGAAAAAAAAAGAGAAAATCGAAAGAAGACAAGGTGTCATTGACAGTCGTGAAAAGTATAAAAACATAAAATCTTTCATGAATATTGGCCTTAAGGAAAACGAGAACCCTATTCTATAGTATATCTATAGTATATATATAGGATATCTATAGTAAGCATGTGTATAGATATAGAAATCAATGTAAAATACGTCAAAGCATCTTGGTTGGTTTCCAATGGTAATAAATTCATGTCGCTGAAAGATCTTAAGTCCGTATCGTTGTGCCGTCGACGTAGCGTATATCTCGCGGTGTGTCTTTCGCTTCTTAATTAATTTCCCTAAAGTAATTTCACCACGGAGTCCCCTGGGATAAGAGCGAATCTCAGATAGAATTAGAAAACTTGACGTTCGCAAGTGGCTTAACGTCCCGCGACAAGACGCTCGCGCATATCGCCGATGAATTCGGCTTAATAGAATTTTCGTTTGTTGCGTTGGCTGCCTTCGTCTCGCGAATTCTATCGCGGACCCAGCGGATTTCAAAGTTCCTAATGTTCCGACTGTTTCCAGTCCTTACTAGGAAACTTTATAATTTACCTCTGAGAATTCACCAGGAGCCAACTTCCGTTTCGCTATTCCATCTCCTTCCAAATTTCATACGACTTTCAACCCTTTTTCCCAAGGGACGTTGAACCTCTGTTTTCTATCACCCGTTACTATAGTATTCGGTATCGTGCGGATGTTGGTCGGTATTAAAGAGTCGACCGAGGGTGGATTCAAACTACCCCCAATGAGAATTCGCAAGGAAATTCCCGAGGATTCCTGGAAATTCCAGGAAAATCCTCACCGGGCGACAGTCCAAACTGTTTAGGGGAAGTTTCACGGTTTAAGGGTTATGTCTTGGCAAGTGTAGTGAGACAATTATCCCGGAGAGAATGACAGCTGTTCTCTGGGATTTCGCAAGTTCGCCTTCGCACCCTTGTAAAACGCGCCTTAAGCTCGCGACCCCGATTAACTTATGAAACTTTTATTAAGTCGCGGTCACGTGACATCTTTTTACGCAGATAGTGATACTTCTCAACAGTGATTACCTAATAATCGTAAAGTTTTCAATAGCCCATCCGATTAACTTTACGTTACAACGTATACCATTCTAATGCTCAAGGCGCGTTTCCACGAGGAACAAGTTTCTCAGTCGACGATGAATCATCAAATAGTTAATCGCGTTGACAAACGAATACAGTCGAAATCGAAAAAATTTTCATAATCCGTCCAGATTTGGCATTAGCAACCGTATATTAGCCATTGTAATCATGAGAACTCGCCTGAGGGTAAAGAAAATTGACGAAGGAGTAGTAAAAGTGCCAGGTTGAACTTGTGTAAAAAATAGTTGACGCCAACATTAAAACGTGACGTCTCAAGCAATCACCATCTCGACCATTCGTACACAATATCGCGTTATCACGAAGATCCACCACCATGATTTCTATGACGCGCGGCCGTTGCGACACTGCTTATCTCCCTGCTCCTTTTTATCAGGCTCTCCACTCTTCCTGTAATCTCCATTTAAACAAAGCTACGCAACGAGATCAATACCGCAAACCGCAGCGAGGAAAATTAAGAATAGCCACCGGAAGTACGATTACGTATAGACAAAAGTATTCATCTCGGTGGTTATTCCGACTGTCGTACGTGGAAGCGAAACTGCATTGGGATTGGCAGTGGACATACATACAGGCAATGCGGAGTTTGAAATGACGGAGAGATTCGGGGACCAATGAAAATCAGAAGTAGGAAGTGCAGTTAGGAGTCATCGGAATGGACTGTATATGTTTCTGGGAATGATGAGGTACCTGAACGCGAGGACATAGGTGGAACGTACGTGTACACAGGTGAACGTGGCTGAGCATAGGCGGAGGTGCGCGGACAAGTGGGCAAACAGGCAATTTCCCGATGGCTGCCAGCAAAGCGTGGAAAACGGAAGCGTTCCCGAAAATAGGAACTCGTCGCAATTAATAATACCGGTAATTGGTATAGATGCATGCTACTGAACTTCAAAGGTCAACGCCTGGCACCAAGTTTAATTAACGCAATCAAATGAAAATATCCGCGACCTCGCAGGACCCCCCCCGCCGCCCTCTCCCCCTTCACACTCCCCTAGGCTTACTTGCGTTCCCGCTGTTTTCTCTCTCTCTCTCTCTCTCTCTCTCTCTCTCTCTCTCTCTCTCTCTTGCGCTCTCTCTTATACCCACTTTGCCTATCTGTTTATCTCCCTCTCTCATTCTCGTTATGCAGTTCTCTCACGTGGTTACGGCATACAGTAGCTGCATGTGCAAAACTGCATATTTAATATGTGTATTATATATAGCTATCTCCTTCCCTCCTCCACCCGTACACCCACGGTGTCACCCCTGCGACCCGCTCATTATGCAAAAGTTCGTTGCACCGAAAATTTAAATCGCGACTTCGACACAGCGCGACATGTTCAAATATGTCGAACTGTGGCAATGACCTAGTTTACCATGCTAATGTTCACAAAAGGCCATTGTTATGCTGTAAGCAATATCACTGATAGCAGTTATCGTTAAGAATAGTACCATACGCTTTTGAGATACCACTCAGGTTTGCTAAATTAAGCCCCATCTTCCCTTACCACCCTTAAGCGAGTCCCATGGAATTCTTCATTAGCATCCCCCTCTCGCATTCTTTGTCGCTACCGTCAATATCCCATTTAAGCTAACTCCGTGATATCGATACTCGAATTCGTATAGCAATACGCTCTAGGGTTATCAGAATTACGAACATACGTAGTTAAGTTAATTAAGGAATGGGTTTGGACAAGTTACACGGGTATTGTAAGTAGGTAGAGGTTATGAATAAGTCGGACTTGAAATACGGTAAAAGAAATACGTTGGAAAAATTGACATAAATACTAAGTCGACAAGTACCGTTCGCTCTTGTCATCGGTCAATTGAGAATTAACAATAGACAATTCTCATTGGCACCAATGACAGTGTACTCTTTGTCTCTGGTAATACGCAGTACCGTCCATTACAGTGCATATAGTCAATGCGCAATGATCTTGTAATATAAGGGTTGATATACCTAGCTCAATATAACTACCGGTCTGGGTAGGCTATACAGTCACCTACACGTCACATATGGATTTGATACGTGCGTGTGAGATCTCATGTGCGCTTCGTGCACGTGAGGCTTCGACTGCACGTGAATGCATTACCTAGGACGGTGTTGGAGGCTCGTCCTGAGTCGCAGAGTCCGTCAGAGAGAGAGAGAGAGAGAGAGAGAGAGAGGGAGAGAGAGAGAGCGGGAGTAAGAGAGCGAGAGGAAGTATGGAACAAGTGAAAAGTGCAAGAGAGACGGATACATAATGCGAGGGCGAAAAAGATAGAGGGAGAAGGGGAGACGTATATGGAAGGAAGGGTTAGCGAAAGAAGGATGGATGAGACGAATGTGGAGGGGAGGATGTATTACTGGCGGCGGGGAGGGGATGACAGGCAGAGCAATTCTGGTGGGGATACCGACGAAGGGGTTGATTCTACGTGTGGGGGGATGCTGAATCGGAACCGTACGAGATGCATACTAATTACGCACCGGCATTGTTTTGCTGATGTGTAAAGACAAGCTAATTACATCTCCAAGAACTTTTACTGAGCTTTACCTGAGCTAAATGAATTGCGCTCGCTTACCTCGTCGCGCGTGTTGTCCTTGCCTGCATGCTGATTATATAGGCATGTGTGTACTACTTCACGTATGAGTATCCACATATACGTTGGTGACCCTTTTCTTTGTCAGATCTTTTCTTGACTTTCCTTTCTCCCTTTTGCTTCTATTCTTGTCAATTCTATTGTTGCCAATTCGATGTACACTGCGCTCTTTACTGCGTCGTTGAACTATGTCGTTGCGGATATCATCTTTCGCTTCAGGATACGCCGAGAGCAACCCTTATCGTTGTGTTCCACGGGGCACTGTAGCTAAATCACATAATTTGCAACCCGCTTGAACTTACAATTTGGATTGTACGAGGGTTGGGTATGATGATTTTTTTTAATCCGGAAATATTTTTGAATTTTTTTCGAGATTAGGTTTCTCAGGACAGGCAACTAGATAGGTAGCTCGATAAGTAGTATTTCTTGAAATTTTTTAATTACTTATATGATACTTTTCTATTGTTTAGACTGACGAATGAAGCCGTAACGAAGAGAGCCGGCTGGTGCGCATAAACTAGGACTAAGAAGGTAAGTCTGACCCGTCGTGGTATTTCCACTTAGCATCAACCCCTAAAAGGTTCGGCGAGTGTCCGCCAGGGTGCGTTTGTGATGGCGCGACGGTAGTACCTTGAATTAGGAGAGGGTCAGCGACGGCACCGTGTGCGCAAGTAGAACGAGCGCGTAATGTACAGCCGCGCGAATAATTATTAGCAAAATTGTATTTAAATATCCAAAAAAATTCTTCCCACCCAAAATTACAGGTGCACTGAAGTACCGCAGTGCGGTTAGCAATCCAAGTATACCCTCCCGAAAACCATAATAGATAAAGGGTTCGTTAGAATGCCGAGGGGTAGCAGTATGTAGTCAGACAAGAACAGAGTAACGCAGCATCCGGCATGAGTCCTTCCTCTACATTATCTTTCTTTCCTTATCCCACCCCCATCCTCTCCACCATTCTCCGACTCTTTGTTTCTTTCTTTCGTACTTCTTTCTTTTTTTTTCCTTCCTTTTTGACACACACCATCCCCAGGATTATGCAAGCAAAGAGTCGAGGTCTTTCCGCGCCGCGAGCGGATACTTAGAATTTAAAATGCATTTCATCTCGGCGTGCTCTTCCTCACCCTTCCCACTCACTCTCACTCTCTCTCTCTCTAGTCTTCTCTCGCTCCCTCTCAATCCCCTTCGAACGACTCTCACTCTCTTCGTCTTTCTGTCTTTCTGATTTCGCTATTTGTGTCTATATACCTCTCTGTGCCCGCGTCACGGAAACCTCGACGGTTCTCGTGCTTAGTCGTTCGACAGACGTCATATATGTCTTTATGAACGCATCTGGAGTAGACAAGTGCATTAAAACCACGGGCGTTAGTTCAAGCTTCAAGGTGGGGGGGGAGGGGGAGGGGGAGGGG